TATATTCCCTATGCAGCTAGGTACATTAAAGGTGCCATCTGGATCAACAAACTGCTCAAAAAAACACAAAAACAGAAAATTAACCATTGTATAAAAATACACAAAAAATATTTACATTATCTGAAAACTAATCAAACAACCATTAAATATATTTAGTATTCATATCATCACAGTAAAAGCATGGAGATGGAATTGACAAAACTGATGCTTACTAAAAGAAAAACGTTTTCATATTGCAATTAGAAGGGAGGTGGAGAGATAGAGAGGAATTCTAGAGTTAAGGGATGCCAAAGGCAAGGTGGCCAATGGTGGAGCAGTGAACACATGGACTGCCCAAGAGACCAAAATTAGAGAGGTGCAGGTATTTCTCAGGGCTGTAGGCCTGAAGGGGTTACAGAGTTAGGAACGGAAGATGTCATGGAGAGATTTAAAGGCAAGTGTGAGAATTTTAAATACAGGTGTTGCTAAACCAGAAGCCAGTGTAGGTCAGTGTGTGCAGGAATAATGGGTACAACTCCCAATGCCAGGTCTCAGCTGATTACCCATTAAATTTCAGTGCTCCACTGACATGATTTTTCTCCAAATTCCTCAGGGCTGGAGATAATCCAGCAATTCTTCCATCTTCATCATTACTATAGGGTGGCATGGTGGCTCAGTAGTCAGCACTGCTGCCTCACAGTGCTAGGGACCCGGGTTCGATTCTACTCTCAAGTGGCTGTGTGTGGAGTTTGCACATTCTCTGTGTCTGCATGGGTTTCCTCTGGGCACTCCAGTTTCCTCCCGCAGTCCAGCGGTTTAGATGGATTGGCCATGCTAAATTGCCCATCCTGTCCAGGGATGTGTAGGTTAGGTGGATTAGCCATGGGAAATGCAGGAATAGGGTGGGGGAAGTGAGTCTGGGTAGGATGCTGTTCAGAAAATTAGTGTGGACTTGGGCCAATGGCCCGTTTCTACACTGCAGGGATTCTATGGATGAAATGGAACCGGAAAACCTCCCGGGAATTTCCTGACCTTAGACTAAACATTTCAGTCTCACTAACTTAGTTGTGATGCTATTACCTTGATATCATTATCGGTGTTCTGTAGTTGTATTATCATATCTATGAGATTTTGCGCTGCCAAGTTGAATGGCAGACAGAAGATATTCTTCACACTATCTGTAGTTAAAGTGTCAGATTTCAATGAGTCAATACTAGCAATGTACACCATCACAGTATGTGCACAGTTCCATAGAAGTCGACACGCATTCTGCAAAGTTGTCCAATGGCCTCCTCGATGTGCAAGAACCTAAAATTACACAATAATTCTTCAGTTAAAGATGTACTCAGTTATATTATTTATATTGCTGTATTGTTTTCACCTAATGAGACTGTTTGCTTTAATAACTACAGAGAGGATTTCCAGCATTTGTAGTAGTTTGCTTTTATTTCTTTTCCTATAAATAGTATTTCAGGATTTCTGTTCTGTGCAATGCTAGGGGCCACAACTTCAAGATTATCAGCAAGAGAGCTAGGAGAAATGAGGAAAAACTTCTTTACTCAGACTTGTTGGGATTTGGAATGCACTGCCTGGAAGAGTGGTGGAGGATTCTACAGGAAGTTTCAAAAGACATTTGGATATATTCACATGTGATGAATTTAGGGGCCTGTGGAAATAGGATTGGAGAATAGGACTAGCTGAGTAGCTCTTTTGGTAGCTGGTACAGATGCAATGGGTCAAATGGCCTCCTTCTATACAGTAAAATTCTGTGATTCTACTTTAAATGGGCAATTTATTGCACAGCCATGGAAGTGCTGATTATGCTTTTCACAACTGTCATTCCTGAAATTACTTTATCAAAGTCTTATTCAGGAAAAAATATTTAAGCAAAACAAAGAACTACAGATGCTGAAGAGATCTGAAACAAAAACTGAAATTGCTGGAGAAACTCAGGTGTGGCAACATCTGTGGAGAGAAAAACAGAGTTAACCTATAGAGTCCAGTGACCCTTCTTACTGCACTCAACATGCTAATTCTGCTTTCTTGCCACTAACAGGAACATAGGAATAGGAGTAGGCCATTCACACCCTTGCGCCTGTTCCACCATTCAATGAGATCATGGCTGATCTGTGGCCTAACTCCACATACCTGCTTTTGGTTCATATCCCTTAATACCTTTGCTTAACAAAAACACTGCCAGACCTGCTGAGTTTCTCCAAACATCTGATTTTGAATATTTATTTAATTTGTCTTCACCACACAATTGCAAAGCATAAAACATGGTAGAAAGAGGCAAAGTTAAATGTAGAGAAAATCTAACTTTATATTTCTGAAAAGTTAATGGAAACAGTGTTGTTATATTGTTTAAACTTAGGGGAATATCCATATATAGAAATCTTCCAATTTCATTAAGTGAGTTAGCTCATGAAGGTGACCCTCATTTACTCCTCTTTCTCTGGAGTCTCAACTTCCAATTTTTTATCATAGGATAACCCATTTCAAAGGGGTAACTTTATAATGGAGCAGTTACTGACAGCATGAATTTTGAGAAGAATAGGGTTCAATATATTTGACTGAGACATCTAATTACCTCAGTACAACAGGATCTTGATCAGATGGGCCAATGGGCCAAGGAGTGGCAGATGGAGTTTAATTTAGATAAATGTGAGGTGCTGTACTTTCATAAGGCAAATTAGGGTGAACTTATACACTTAATGGTAAGGTCCTGAGGAATGTTGCTAAATGAAGAGATCTTGGAGTGCAGGTTCATAGTTCCTTGAAAGTGGCGTGCCAGGTAGACAGAATAGTGAAGAAGGTGTTTGGTATGCTTGCCTTTATTGGTAATTGCATTGAGTATAGGAGTTGGGAAGTCGTGTTGCGGCTGTACAGGACATTGGTTAAGCCACTTTTGTAATACAGTGTGCAGTTCTGGTCACCTTGCTATAGGAAGGATGTTGTGAAACTTGCAAGGGTTCAGAAGAGGTTTACAAGGATGTTACCAGGGTTTAGAGGGTTTGAGCTATAGGGAAAGGCTGAATAGGCTGGGGCTATTTTCCCTGGAGCATCGAAGGCTGAGGGCGTGACCTTATAGAAGTTTATAAAATCATGAGGGGTATGGATGGGGTAGATAGACAAGGTCTTTTTCCTGGGGTGGGGGAGCCAAAAACTAGACGGCATAGGTTTAAGGTGAGGGAGAAAAGATTTAAAAGGGGCCTAAGGGATGTGTGTACGGAATGAGCTACCAGATGAAGTGGTGGAGGCTGGTACAATTACAACATTTAAAAGGCATCTGGATGGGTATATGAATAGGAAGAGTTTAGAGGGACATGGGTCAAATGGTGGCAAATAGGACTAGATTAATTTAGGATATGTGGTCGGCATGGACAAGTTGGACCAAAGGGTCTGTTTCTGTGCTGTACATGTCTATGACTCTATGACTCGAAGTTGACCTTTGCTACGGAGCTGGAGGTGTTAGCAGTCATCCATATCTTCCACTTGTATCAACTCCGTCCAACCTAAACACTGACCAGTGATTGCAAAATGCAATGACAGAGGACTCCACAAACAGCAGAGATAATCCTCACAGAACTTATCAATTTATAATCCAGGCATCATTCAAGTGTACAGATGGTAACTAAAATTTAAAAGGCATCTAGTTATTTTATTTGATCAATGTCGGTGACAGGCTATTTCCAATAATATTACAAAAGATCTTAAGGAACACTCAACTCTGGAAAAGGCAGTTTAGCAAAGATGCCAGTGCACTTCTATTGGTGGGTGGCAGAATGAATATCTGACACTGATTCTATGTGCAGAAAAATTAACACACAAGCCAAGAAAATGTCTTTACAGAGTTGAATAGTGGGTGTTCGTGTGACCACTCAGCATTATTTTCTTAACAGGACATGAACCAGGTAATTATTCTCCATGGGTAATAACCATGCCCATTTGCAATTGGAGGCCTTATTAGTGAGACAGAATTATTTTCATAAGCAATGTCTACATGTCAATCATGTACTTTTTCATTAGAAGAAAAGCGAATTCTGAAACATTCATTTCAATAACCATCACCCGAGATGTATCAACAAATATACTTTATAAATGAAATTACCACTGCTCTTCTGAAGTGTAAAAAGGCTTTGTTTAATTGGTTGAACATAAAAGTGCTGCAACTGCTTGGCATGCTTGGTTCTTCTGCAGCAGGAACAGATTCATCAGTTGTTGCTTGCGTTGCTGGTGTGTTCATGACACTTTCGGTACTGTCAGAAATGCCATCATCCCCTTCCATTAAAAGATTATATAACAAATCAATATGGTTGATAGAAATATCATTAGCACATTCAGAATTCTACACCTTTTAAAGTGTATTGTTATAATTAGGTAGCTAGATTTGAGGTTTTTAAACTATTTCTGAAACGTGATTTCATGACACAACTTTAAATGACACCACTTCAAATACACAATACATTGAGTGCTTTTTCAAACTCTATGTAGATCTTCATCTGACAAAGGAGCAGTGCTCTGAAAGCTTGTGATTTCAAATAAACTGCTGGACTATAACCTGGTGTTGTGTGACTTCTAAGCACGGCCTGAGTTTACTTTCAATTCCTAATTGCCCTAGAGTAGGTAGTGGTGATCCACTTTTTTAAACCACTGAGGTTCATGTAACGTAGGAACACATATACTGCTGTTAAGAAGAGAGTTCCAGAATTTAGACCCAGCAGTCGTGAAGGGACAGCGATATTGTTTCAAGTCAGGATGGCGCGTGACTTGCTTGGAAATTTGGAGGTGATATGCTTTATATGTATCAGCTATCCTTAATTATTCTGAAACATTTATTTCAGGTTTACTGAGGAAAGCACACATATTTATTTAATTGAATTTTGAGCAAACTGGTTACTTTTTTTAAATGCAATGCAACATACAGCCAGGTGATTCTGATGATTTTTCATTTCTTTTGAGGGAGGGCAATGAGATTTCAGGAATTTGGTGAATTGTTACTGTATCATCTCTTTCTGCCTCTAAGAGTAGACCACCAGAATTATGTAGAGTAAAAATATCAGGATCCAAAAGGGAATATCTGTAAACAAAAGGAAAGCAACAATCTGTTAAACATACAATTAATTACTTTAATGCAAGACATCTAAAAAAGGAGTGAAAATTTGCATTTTGAACTTAGGTGGAATTTTTTTATTTCATAAATGTGAATTTGTTTAGTCTATTTACAAAAACACCTTTTTTTAAGAAAAAAGAACACCATGCAAAAGGATTTCTGCAACTAGATCAGCAAGGGCAGAAAAAAAGTTGACAGATGGAGTCACTCAAATTATACTCCACAATGCACAATGTGCCATTTTAACAGAGAGATAGTAAGAACTGCCAATGCTGGAGTCAGAGATAATTACACTCCACAATGCACAACGTGCCATTTTAACAGAGAGATAGTAAGAACTGCCAATGCTGGAGTCGGAGATAATGCAGCATGGAGCTGGAGGAACACAAGCTGATGTTTCGGGTCGGGACCGTTCTTCAGAAGATCTGAATTTTTCTGAAGAAGGGTCCTGACCTGAAACGTCAGTCTTCCTGCTCCTCTGATGCTGCCTGGCCTGCTGTGTTCCTCAGCTCCACACTGTGTTATCTATGCCATTTTAACAGTTGTTTATCAGGCATTGACTGAGGCCCTTGCTTCTTTCAGAAGGGTTGATGAAATCATTGCAGAGACACAACTACAATTTAACTAGCATGAACAAGGCCATCTGATGTTGCCATTTTCAGACAATAATCAGCAGACACAGATGGCAAGATAGTCACATTATTAAAAGATTTCTTATTAAAGCTAGAAGCAACAGGAACAAAATGTCATCCTGCCCTAGCTGTTCAACTTGCTACCTCATGTTTGTGATTCAGGATGAGCTAAAATTAGGAACTGTCTGTTTGGAGTTACCAACCACTCTGGTGGACTTATAAAAAGTCATTTAAATCTACTACCATCAGATATACCTTTAAATAAGAAAACAAACCCAATGGGAATAAAACACAACTAACAGGTATCACCAAGTAACCTATGGTCTAGCACAGATTTTTCAAGCAGATATTATAATCTTGATGTAGTTGATATTGTTTGAAATTAATGTTGAACATTGTGCAAGGAAAGCATCTCATTTGTATTTCAATTTATCAATTAATATATTCTGGCCTCAGTATTTATGTAGGACCAGAGAGGATAGAGAGAAAACCATAAACAACCGACGAACACAGCAAAATCAAGGAGATGAGCATGCTGCCAAACGTAACAATAGGACCTCACCGTCAGTTTCTCATTACATTTCACACCTGGTAACAGGTCCCCATAACACTTCCTCCTACCTCCCCCATATCATAACCTGAACAAACATCAAGCCATTGTTTCCAGAGCTGTCACTGATCTCCTATCCATAGCCTCAAAACTCGTAAATCCTCATTTCCTTCCTCAATCACTTCCCCCAAACTCAAAAACTGGACTGCCTTTCTAGACCCACCCTTTCAGACTGTTATGCACCAGTTAAGTGATTCTGTTCCTATTTCAACTCTAACTTTTCTCACCATGACCTTTTCCAGACTCTTCACAACTTAGTTCATGATGCTTCTAATGCTCACTGTTATTTCATCAGTTTCAAGGTCCTGGTACTAACAATGGTTTGCCACTCCCTCTCCATTTCCAATCTCCCACGAAGACAGTCTAAGGTTCTCTGCTCCTCCCTTAGATGGAGGCCAAACCAGTCCCAATTCAACAATAACATTTTCTCCCTGGCTGAAATTGTTCTTACTGAACACAACATCTCCTTTAACTCCACAAACTTACTTCATATAGAACATGTGTTATGGGTACTTGTTTCCTCACAAATCTGCCTTTTTGTAACATTTGGAAAACATTCTTTGCTCCAATCTTACACATAAACCCTACCCTTTCCACTTTTTTCACTATATTCATGTCATTATCAGTGGTATTCTTGTTCTCATCCGAATCAGGCATTTGGTTGGGCATAGCTGTCCCCACACTAGAGTGATTAGCCAGCAGGTCTACAGTACCAGGAGTCCCACAAGGTGCAGAGGCCTTCACTGGTACCACAGTCGGATCTGCTGTTGAATCAGTGACAGATTGAAATGGGTATGGGCTGGATTGGAGTGTCAGTGAGTAGGGGTGGTTTGTGGGTTTGGACACAAAACAAAGATGCTGTCTTCCTGTGGGGCTTTCCCTTTCTGATGCTAGGCACAGGGTGCCCATGAACAAGGAAAGCACACCCTCCGTAAGCTTTTAGTATACCCAGCAGTGGCAGATTGAGGCACTTACATGGTCACTAAAACTGTCTGGAGAATGTAACTTTATTTATTTTGATAGATTTATGAGCTTTTCAAAGACTTCCAAATGTTATTGCAGGGGTCACGAGTTCAGTTTACACAGGATGCTGAGTGATTAGGTTGACGGGGTAAGGGTATGAGGTGGGTTTGGGGGCTGACAGGGTTAACAGTGTTGGATAGAGGCTATTGCTGCTTCCAAGGCAGCTAGGTAGCAGAGGTAGACTCACAACTTCATGATGAAAATACAACTCATTAACTCTACTTCTCTTTCCATAGTTGCTGCCAGGCACGTGTAAATGTCGCCAGAACATATAGCCAAGCTGGTAACTAGGAAGGAATATTAGTAGTAAGAGACTACTAACTACTGGGGACTCTTTTAACCCAACAACTGAATTTAGAAGAGAGTAAAGTCTTTAAAATACTGAAATCCCAACGAGATCATCCCTACTTTTAAATCAGTGAGTTGGGGTTTAGAGAAGAATTGGATGAGGAACACAATCTCAGTCTGTACACCAGTCACTAAAATTCTCAAATGTCTCCATTTTACCTATATTTTGATTTGTTTTTACTATGTGGAGGCATCAGGTACATTTACAGTACAGCTTGTGAGCCTGGAAAAGCAGGGCTACTTCCCCCTGTTGTCCAGGTTAACTTCATGGTAAGTTGCATGCTGCCTGACTCCCTCCGAAATCTCCCATTATCCTACAGAAATCACGACCGCTTTCAACCTCGCCACCCCACCCCGCAATTGTATTCCTGTAATGTTTGAAACTCTAAACCCAGTCTAACCATCTTCCACTTCATCTGGATACTGCAATTATTCATGTCTAATCGTGTAACCTCAAAAGAGATTGACTAGGATATTTTCATTGCTACTTTTTAGCTAATGACATTAAATTGACTAAGACCCATATCTTTAGCAGATTATGAAGACAATGTCTATAATTTCCATCTACAAAGGTGCAAGGTGAAAAAATCTGAAAATTTTGCCTGTCTTGACTCAATAAATCTAACCTTTCCCTATTCTTCCAGAAGAAAGAATTGTTTTTATGAGACATTTTTCTTCTTTTCTAAATAGAGTGCACATGATATGACCCATTTCAGTTTTATAGCCAACAGATTTTTTCTAGATTGTTTCCAGGACAAAGTTGCTTCCATATAAGAACATTTGGTTAGCTTAGTCACAATTCCCAACCAGAGGAACTCACTAGCTGCAAAGAGGATCACTCATTCATTCCCACCAAATGTGAGCATCTCTGTCAATCTTGGTTCTCAGAAATCAAGACTCTCAGCACTGTTCACTTAGACTGTCTGGAGTGGGATTCCAACCCATAAGCTTCTGACCTATGTAGAATACTACCACTGACCTCAAGATAATTCTTTATATTAAAACTGCAGAGTGGAAATTTGTGAAAGTGCATATTTGTTGATTCCAAGGTACCTGCTCACGCTTCTTGAAGTCCAACACTCTTCCTCATAACACTTCATGAATGAATTAAGACATAGAATCCCCAGTAGCACATTCAGCTGGCTACGCCACGGCATTTCTGATATACAAGTTTTGTTGAATTTTTTAAGATGCAGATAGGCACGTACAATTGGTCCAAGCAGAGTTTGGAAAACTTCCTTAGCTTTGTTTTCCAATCTTTCTCTTTGTTTCCTAAACAAAATAATCATAAACATATAGGTACCACTGAAAGAAAATTACATCTATAATAAAAGAAATTACACTAACTTTCGAGCATTTTTGAAAATTTTGGATATTTTTGATTAATTGCATTTTCAATGATTTTAAGCAGTTTGACTACTCAGCAATTAAGCCATATTCATGTAAAGTAACTCAAGTGAGAGATTCTTCCAAAAACTAGTCTTCGGTAGCATATATTTCTTCATTATCTCCTCCTACTTTCATATCATAACAGAGCAGGAGGATTAAAGGAAGTATCTCTCCTTCACAAATAGATCCATATAATGGATATACTAAATTAAATGTTGGCTGGAAAACATGAAAAATGAAGCAATGAACTATAAAATAAAACCATAAGACATAGGAATAGGACTAGGCCATTCAGCCCCTAGAGCCTATTCCACCATTCAATGAGATCATGGACGAATTGTGGCCTAACTCAAAATACCTGCCTTTGGCCCATATCATGGGATCATAGAATCCCTACAGTGTGGAAATAGGCCCTTCAGCCAAACAAGTCCACACCGCCCTACAGACCATCCCACCCAGACCCATCCCCCTATAGCCCACCTAATCTACACATCCCTGAACACTATGGGCAATTTAGCATGGCCAATCCACCTAGCCTGCACATCTTTGGACTGTGGGAGGAAACCCACGCAGACACAGGGAGAATGTGCAAACTCCACACAGACAGTTACCCAAGGGTAGAATCGAACCTGGGTCCCTGGCGCTGTGAGGCAGCAGTGCTAACCACTGAGCCACATATCCCTTAATACATTTGCCTAACAAAAATTTATCTTAGTTCTTCAGAGTAACATCCTTGTTCAAACCATTTTCAGCTGCTTTATCACCGACTTGTCTTCCATCATAAGGGGGATTGTTCACTGATGAATGCACAATGTTCAGCACCATTCACGATTCATCAGATACTGAAGCAATATGAGCAATACCTAGACAACATCCACGTTTAGGTCAATAGTGGCAAAAACAATATTAACACCACACAAGTGCCATTTTAAACAGGCAAAGAATCACACCACCTTCATGTGACATTCAATAACATTGTTTTTGTTAAAGCCCCGTAAATTTCCCATGCGTTATAATTGATCAGAAACTGAACTAGACAAGTCAAACAAATACAGTGACTACAACAGCAGGCTAGAAACTGGATATTCTCTGGCAAGCAACTCACCTCCTGACTCCTTAAAGCCTGTGCACTATCTACAAGTCAAGAATGTGATGGAATACTCGCCTGGATGGGTTCAGCTCCAGCAACACTCAAGAAACTCAACACCATCCAGGATAAAGCATCCTGCTTGACTGGAACCTTATCCACCACCCTCAATGTTCACTCACTTTACTTCTAATGCAGAGCATTCCAGAAACTCACCAAGGGATCTTCAACAGCACCTTCTAAAACCCATGAATTCTACAATCCAGGATACCAACAGCAGATACACGGGAAGTTCCCCTCCAAACAACACATGGTCCTAACTTGGAAATATATCACCATTCCATGATCACTGGGTCAAAATTCTGGAACCTCCTTCAATGAGAATGAGTGTACCTACAGCACACAGACTGCAGTGGTTCCAGAAGATAGTCCATCACCTTGTCAAAGCCATTTAGGAATGGGCAATAAATGCTGGCCCAGACACCATATCCGATGAACGAATGAAAAAAAAGGCATATAGTGGGCTTGGTCTGAAGCAAAATTGAATGAATATCTGCCCTTCTTTCCTTCAATCATTCCCCTGTGGAGCTGGAATGATTCTACCATTTATTGACATCAAATTAACACTGACAACGTAACAGGGCTTTTATCTTTTCTGTAAATTTGTTTGGTGTCTTATACATTTAACAATGTTATAAGAAGACTGGATGTAAAAAACTTGGTATTTCCAGAAAATCTACAGATTTCCAATATTACAAGCAACACCAATATGAAGGCAACACAACAAAGCCAAAAAAAAATGAAGTGAATCTGTGCTGGAGATAAAACAATCACATGGCTAGTTATAGTCTTCCACTTGCTTGTAGAAAGAAAGAATGGAAGAAGAGGGCCAAACATAATGGTGAAAAAATGTTGTGGTCATACAATAGGATGAATATGCAGCAGTGACAGAAATCAAAAAACCATCCATACATATATCTGACATCCGTACAACAAGGAGAAATCTTATCTACCTTTGTGCATTGGGGTCATTCTTTAAAGCTGGATTGTTGATAAAGTTGTGTAAGAGTTCCTTCATTGTTGCTTTATCTCTCTTCAGTTTTTTGCTTGGATTCTGAACAGCAAGAAATAATATCGGTAGCATCAAAATTTTAAAATCTCCAAATGAACAATTCCCTGAATAAATTCCTAAATTCCATGAATATTGTAAATTAAGACAATATTAACCATCCACACATTTATGTTCAACTTCAGTGACCCCATTAAGAAGTCGGACCTGGCGACTTCATTAACCATTCAGTAGTCTCAGCAGAGATAGTAAGAACAGCCGATGCTGGAGTCAGAAATAACACAGTGTAAAGCTGGAGGAACACAGCAGGCCAGGCAGCATCAGAGGAGTAGGAAAGTTGACGTTTCGGGTCAGGACCATTCTTCAGAAATGGGGATAGGGCTAGGGATCTGGGAAATAAATAGAGAGGAGGGTTGGGGTTGGGGAAGGTAGGTGGGATGGTGATAGGTGAGAGCAGGTAGACAGCGGTGGGGATTGGTCAGTGAGGTGGGAGGAGCTGATAGGTGGGAGAGAAGACTCTATTTTCTCCCCCCGGTCCTGAAACTCCCCCACCTACATCTGGGACACCACCCACACCTTCCACCTCCTCCAAGACTTCCAATTCCCTGGGCCCCCACACCTCATCTTCACTATGGACATCCAATCCCTGTACACTTGCATTCCCCACGCAGATGGCCTAAAAGCCCTCTGCTTCTTCCTCTCCCGCAGGCCCAACCAGTCCCCCTCCACCAACACCCTCATCCGCTTAACCAAACTCATCCTTACCCTAAACAACTTCGCCTTCAACTCCTCCCACTTCCTACAGAAAAAGGGGGTGCCAATGATACCCGCATGGGCCCAAGTTATGCCTGCCTCTTCGTAGGATATGTGGAACAGTCCTTCTTCCACTACTACACTGGCACTATCCCCCACCTCTTCCTCCGCTACATCGATGACTGTATCGGCGCTGCCTCGTGCTCCCACGAGGAGCTTGAATAGTTCATCAACTTTACTACCACCTTCCACCCCAACCTCAAGTTCACCTGGGCCATCTCTGATACCTCCACGACATTGGTGAGACCAAGTAGAGGCTTGGAGACTGCTCTGTAGACCATGTGCACTCTATTCACGACAAACAACAACACCTTCCGGGCGCAAACCATTTCAACACCCCCTCCTACTCCCTGGGCGACACGTCCATCCTGAGCCTCCTCCAGTATCACAATGATGCCACCGGGAAACTGGAGGAGCAGCACCTCATATTCCACCTTGGGAGCCTACAGCCCAATGGCCTAAATGTAGACTTTACCAGTTTTAAAATCTCCCCACCCCCGGCCTCATCCCATGACCAACCCTCCCTCTCATCCCCGCCGTCTTGACCTGACACAACCTGTCCATCTTTCTCCCACCTATCCACTCCTCCCACCTCACTGACAAATCCCCATCAATGCCTACCTGCACTCACCCATCACCATCTCACCTACCTTCCCCAGCCCCACCCCTCCTCTCTCTATTTATTTCCCAGCTCCCTTCATCCTCCCCCATTTCTGAAAAAGGGTCCCGAACCAAAACGACAACCTTCCTACTCCTCTGATGCTGCCTGGCCTGCTGTGTTCCTCCAGCTCCACACTGTGTTATCTCAGTAGTCTAAGCAGAACCTGGTTCAACTTTCAGCGTTGGGCACGTAATGACTGAGGAACGCCTGTTGCTGTGACTGGGTTCAATCAGGTAGTTTACACAATCCATTGGATTTTTGTTTTAACTTGGGCTTGTTTCTGAGCCATAAACAATAAGGAAGTTGTTTTGTGGAAGGGTACTTTCCTTCATTCACAGGGTAGATTCTTACAGGGGCCTGAAATAAATGGGCTACAGTGGAATTTGTGACAGATTCGCTGTGGTTCAGGGTCTTTCTTGTGGACAGAACTTAGGTGTTCTGCGAAGGGGTCATCCAGTCTACGATTCGTTTCCCAATGTAGCGGATACCATATTGTGAGCAGCGAATGCAGTAGACTACATTGCGTGAAGTATAAGTAATGTGCTACTTCACCTGGAAGGTGTGTTTGGGCCCCCTTGGATACTGAGGAGGGGGGAAGTAAACTGACAGATGTTACACCTTCTGCAGCTACAGAGGAAGGTGCCCTGAGTCCATGGAGTGATGTTGGAGAGAAGGAAGAGTGGATCTGGATGTCTCAGACGGAACAGTCCCTGCAGAAGGCTGACAAGGGAGGGGAGGGGACTATGAGTCTGGTGGTAGCAGCTCACTGGAGGTAGCAGAAATAGTGGCTTTGTAGAACACCTCTGTTCTGTCCACAGAAAAACCCTGAGCTTCCAGTTGCCTGCCACTTCAACACACCATCCAGTTTCCTGGCCAACATCTCTATCCTAGGCTTGCTGCAGTGGTCCAGTGAAGCTCAGCCTAAGCTGGAAGAACAGCACCTCATTTTCCACTTGGGGACCCTGCAGCCCTCTGGGCTCAATATTGAGTTCAATAACTTTAGGGCTTGAGTTCCCCCATGATCTTATCCCAACCTCACACATCAGGCCTTGTTAACATACAGTTGGCCATTACACATGACCTATTGTTAGCCACTAACAGTCTCCATTAATAACAATTCATCCCCCTAGTAAGATCGTTATCCACTGCTTTGTCTGTCCAACTGTTCTCTCTCTTTGGGCTCTTATCCCCACCTATCGTTTACTCCTTACCCCCTTACCCCCGCCCTATCTTCTGCATATAAAGTGACATTTTCCTAGCTACCATCAGTTCTGAGGAAGGGTCACTTGACCCGAAACGTTAACTTTGATTTCTCTTCACAGATGCTGCCAAGCCTGCCGAGCTTTTCCATCAATTTCTGTTTTTGTAGGTAAAATCTGATACTTATCTTTCCATTCCAGTGAGCCGAGTTCACAGAAAAAATGTTTCAAACTGCCAAATGCAGTCGCCTGTTTGCAATGTCAATTTGACCTCTAACAATGGAGCTTATTCAGCCAATGACTGGGTCGCTGTGTGTTGCAGATGAGGCAAGAATTTAGTGCATCCTTCAGGCTGGTGATCCTAACAAAGCCAGTTTGTAGTGCTTTCCTGAGGACGACCAAGAAATTGATAAAGAATGGGAAAAGAGAATATGAATGCAAGCGAGAGATAAACAGAAAGGTCGACTGCATAAGCTTTTTAGGGGTGTGAAAATGAAACTAGGCAAGTAGGCACAGGCAATAAATTCTGGCCAGCCAGTGACATCCATTCCCCACGAGTGAATAAAACATTATTAGCAAGGACAAATGTAGATCTATTACACGTAGAGACAGGAGAATTGGATAGAGAATAAGGAAATGACAGAGAGACTAAACAATTATTTCATGTCAGTCTTTACAGAGGAAGATAGAGAACACTTCCCAGATGGGAACAACAGTCTTGAGAAAATTGGGACCTAAAAGAGATTAGTATTAATGAAAAGGCAGTACTCAACAAATTAACTGGATTGAAGATTGATAAATATCCTGGATCAGAAGGGATCAATTCCAGCGTATTGAAGGAGGAAGGCATAGAGACAGTGGATGCATTAGTCGCTAATTTTCAAAATTCTATAGATTCTGGAAAAGTTTCTGCTAACTGGAGAGTAGCAAATGTAACTCCACTATTTAAGAAGGGAGAGAGAGAGAGAAACTGGAGAATAATAGAACTGTCAGTTTGAAGTCAGTAGCAGGGAAAATATTGAATTTATTTCAAAAGATGTGATAACTAGACAATTAGAAAATAATGACATAATTGGGTACAGTCAACATGGATTTATGAAAGGGAAACCATGTTCAACACACCTGTTGGAGTTTTCTGAGAGCTTTATCTATTGTATAGATAAAGAAGAATAAATCAATCTAGTTCTTTAGATTTCCATAAGTTTATTGATATAGTCTCTTGAGATAATCCAACAAGGAGAGTTTAAGACGAGTGGGTCTGCATTCGCTAAAGTTTCAAAAATGAGGCGTAATCACATCAAAACATAAAAAAACTCTGAAAAGGTCTGACAGGATGGATGAAAATAGGGTATATTCCCTTGTTGATGGGGAAGAGGCCAGGGTATGAAATTGTTGACCTCAGTGGTGAGTCTGAAGGGCTATAAATGCATCGTCAAAAGATGAGTTGCTGTTCATCAAGTTTCAATGGAACAGGGTGTGGCACCAAGCAGGAGCAGAGCAGAGAAGTGACGTAACAAATGAAGGGAAATTTGGAATTACATTTGCAGACAGAAAGAAATTGTTCCACAAACTGGTATTTGTTTGGTCTTCCCACTGGAGAAGAAACTGTTATAAATATATTCCATATTAACCACTAATTGGGCCCCAACTGGATTATTGTGGTAAATTATGGCCGCCACAGCTTATAAAAAGGACACAAAGATTTTGGCAAATGTACATAAGAGATTTTCTGGAATGAGGATTAAAAGTTTTTTCATTGATCAAAGAAGCTCAGGCTGTGTCCTAATGTACAGAAGGGCTAGGAAGAAACCAAATGCAAGTGTTCAAAGCCACTAAGGCTTTAGATATAGTAAATGAACAGAAACTGTTTCCAATTGCAGAATAGTCAACAACCAGCCATTCAACATGACGGCTAAAAGAACATCAGGTAACATGAAGAAACTGTACTTTAAGGTGAGAATTTGGAATGCACTGCCTGACAGGGCAATTGAAGCAGATAAAATAAATTATTTCCAAAACAGAACCAAATATATACTGAAGAGAAGAAATCATAAGAATATGCCAAAGAACTTGATTGCAACTACCTGGATTACTCTTTCAAAAGACTAATGCAGTCTTGACAGGATGACAGGAAGTCCTGTCCTGTTCTTCTTATTCTTGATAAGCCCGTTAGATGGTTAATATTCTCTGCCTTCTCCATTTGGGTGTCTTATTTCAGCAGAAAGATAAAGTGTTTCCGCAAACATCATGCATTAAAAATATTAATAACTTTACTGGCAGCACAGAACCTCACAAAATGTATCCTGTGAGAATCTTTGCAATTCTGCAGTTCCCCACATTATTCTCTAAATATTAAGTCACAACAGATTTCAGCTTTTTAATAACTCTCAGTATAAAATGCCTACTCTTCTGTTAGAACTGTGCATGCTGCGAGAAATCCAACCACTGAGCTCTTTATTCTTTCATGCTTTGTGGGCATCAGTGACGAGGCCAGTACTTACTGTCCACTTCGAATTGCCCCACAAACAAATTGGCTTGTTAGGCCTTTTTGAGGAGAGATAAGATTAACTACATTGCTGTGAGTCTCAAGTCATATTTCGGCTAGACTGGGTTGGCAGATTTCCTTACTTAAATGAAGGAAATTATTAAAACCAGACACCTTTGTTCAACAAGTGATAATAGTTTCATGGTCATTATCACTGAGACGAGTACTTTTTAAAATATTCCAGACTTATTCATCAAACTTAAATTCTAACAGCTGCTGTGGTGGGATTTGTCTCCACAACATGTGTTTCTGCATTACCAGTCCAATGACATAATCACCATCCCCAATCAGAAATCACACAAAGAATACTAGCTGTAACTTACATTGTGATACTCCAGCACAACTGCTGCATTTTTCAAAGGTCTGACTGCACTTTTTTTTCCGGGTGCTTTCCTTGACCCAAGAAGAACATTGTTCCGCCTGTTCAGTTAAACAAAAATATTCTTATGTATTTAGGTAAGCAAACAAAGACCTAATAAACATGTTGATGGGCACCACAACCCTGATATTTATTGGGGCCAACTTGATACAGAACTGGATTGAATGTAGAAGGCAGAAGGTTGGTGGTGGAGGGTTGCTTTTCAGACCGGAGGCCTGTGACCAGCGGTGTGCCACAAAGATCGGTACTGGGGTCCACTGTTTTTGTCATTTATATAAATGACTTGGATGTGAATCTAGGCGGTATGATTAGTAAGTTTGCAGATCACACCAAGGAGGTGTAGTGAACGGCGAAGAAGGTTACGTCAGAACATAACGGGATCTTGATCAGATGGGCCAACGGGCCAAGGAGTGGCTTTGGAGTTTAACTTAGATGAATGTGAGGTGCTGCATTTTGGAAAGGCAAATCAGGGCAGGACTTATACACTTAATGGTAAGGTCCTGCAGAGTGTTGCTGAACAAAGAGACCTTGGAATGCAGACTCATAGTGCCTTGAAAGTGGAGTCCCAGGTAGACAGGATAGAGAAAAAGGTGTTTGGTATGCTTGCCTTTATTTGTCATCACATTCAGTATAGGAGTTGGGAAGCCATGTTGTGGCTGTATAGGACATTGGTTAGACCACTTTTGGATTACTGCATGCAGTTTTGGTCTCCCTGCTTAGAGGAAGGAAGTTGTGAAACTTGAAAAGGTTCAGAAAAGATTTACAAGGATGTTGCCAGGGTTGGAGGGTTTGAGCTCTCGGGAGAGGCTGAATAGGCTGGAGCTATTTTCCCTGGAGTGTTCGAGGTTGAGGGGACTGGAGTTTTAGCTCCTTTTAAACAGGCAGTTCGAGCACAAAATTTATTGCAGGCCTGGCAGCCTGCTGGGTTTGGAACTATGATATTATATAATTCATCATTGTGGTGCAGAGTGGCATAGATCATTCTGAGACTAAGGTCCTGCATCCTAAATAAAGGAAGTGATGATGGTATGAGGTGTGAGCTGACTATGATAAATTGGGAGATGTCACTTAAGGGGATGATGGTAGAAAAAGAAATGGCAAACATTTAGAACAAGAACAAAGAACAAAGAAAATTACAGCACAGGAACAGGCCCTTCGGCCCTCCAAGCCTGCGCCAATCCAGATCCTCTATCTAAACCTGTCGGCTATTTTCCAAGGATCTGTATCCCTCTGCTCCCTTCATGTATCTGTCTAGATACATCTTAAATGATGCTATCGTGCCCGTCTCTACCACCTCCACTGGCAACACGTTCCAGGCATCCACCACCCTCTGCGTAAAGAACTTTCCACGCATATCTCCCTTAAACTTTTCCCCTCTCACCTTGAAATTGTGACCCCTAGTAATTGAGTCCCCCACTCTGGGAAAAAGCTTCTTCCTATCCACTCTGTCTATACCTCTCATGATTTTGTAGACCTCAATCAGGTCCCCCCTCAACCTTCGTCTTTCTAATGTAAATAATCCTAATCTACTCAACCTCTCTTCATAGCTAGCACCCTCCATACCAGGCAACATCCTGGTGAACCTCCTCTGCACCCTCTCCAAAGCATCCACATCCTTTTGGTAATGTGGCAACCAGAACTGTACACAGTATTCCAAATGTAGTCGAACCAAAGTCCTATACAACTGTAACATGACCTGCCAACTCTTGTACTCAGCACCCTGTCCGATGCATGCCGTATGCCTTCTTGATCACTCTATCCACCTGCGTTGCTACCTTCATGGTACAATGGACCTGAACGCCCAGGACCTGAACACTCTGAACACCTGCATCAATTTTCCCCAGGGCTTTTCCATTTACCGTCTGGTTCGCTCTTGAATTGGATCTTCCAAAATGCATCACCTCGCATTTGCCTGGATTGAACTCCATCTACCATTTCTCCGCCCAACTCTCCAATCTATCTATATTCTGCTGCATTCTCCGACAGTCCCCTTCACTATCTGCTACTCCACCAATCTTAGTGTCATCTGCAAACTTGCTAATCAGACCATTTATACCTCCCTCCAGATCATTTATGTATATCACAAACAACAGTGGTCCCAACACAGATCCCTGTGGAACACCACTGGTCACAGTTCTCCATTTTGAGAAACTCCCTTCCACTACAACTCTCTGTCTCCTGTTGCCCAGCCAGTTCTCTATCCATCTAACTAGTACACCCTGGACCCCATGCGACTTCACTTTCTCCATCAGCCTACCACGGGGAACCTTATCAAACGCCTTACTGAAGTCCACGTATATGACATCTACAGCCCTTCCCTGATCTATCAACTTTGTCACTTCCTCAAAGAATTCTATCAAATTGGTAAGACATGACCTTCCCTGCACAAAACCATGCTGCCTATCACTAATAAGCCCATTTTCTTCCAAATGTAAATAGATCCTATCCCTCAGTATCTTCTCCAGCAGCTTCGCCACCACTGACGTCAGGCTCACCGGTCTATAATTACCTGGATTATCCTTGCTACCCTTCTTAAACAAGGGGACAACATTAGCAATTCTCCAGTCCTCCGGGACCTCACCGTGCTCAAGGATGCTGCAAAGATATCTGTTAAGGCCCCAGCTATTTCCTCTCTCACTTTCCTCAGTAACCTGGGATAGATCCCATCCGGACCTGGGGACTTGTCCACCCTAATGCCTTTTAGAATACCCAACACATCCCCCCTCCTTATGCCATTTGACCTAGAGTAATCAAACATCTATCCCTAACCTCAACATCCTTCATGTCCCTCTCCTCGGTGAATACCGATGCAAAGTACTCATTAAGAATCTCACTCATTTTCTCTGACTCCTCGCATAACTTCCCTCCTTTGTCCTTGAGTGGGCCAACCCTTTCTCTAGTTACCCTCTTGCTCCTTATGTACGAATAAAAGGCTTTGGGATTTTCCTTAACCCTGTTTGCTAAAGATATTTCATGACCCCTTTTAGCCCTCTTAATTCCTCGTTTCAGATTGGTCCTACTTTCCCGATATTCTTCCAAAGCTTCGTCTGTTTTCAGTCACCTAGACCTTATGTATGCTTCCTTTTTCCTCTTTGCTAGTCTCACAATTTCACCTGTCATCCATGGTTCCCTAATCTTGCCCTTTCTATCCCTCATTTTCACAGGGACATGTCTGTCCTGCACTCTAATCAACCTCTCTTTAAAAGCCTCCTACATATCAAATGTGGATTTACCCTCAAACAGCTGCTCCCAATCCACATTCCCCAGCTCCTGCCGAATTTTGCTATAGTTGGCCTTTCTCCAATTTAGCACTCTTCCTTTAGGACCACTCTCATCTTTGTCCATCAGTATTCTAAAACTTACAGAATTGTGATCACTATTCCCAAAGTAATCCCCTACTGAAACTTCAACCACCTGGCCGGGCTCATTCCCCAACACCAGGTCCAGTATGGCCCCTTCCCGAGTTGGACGATTTACATACTGCTCTATAAAACCCTCCTGGATGCTCCTTGCAAATTCTGCTCCATCTAAACCCCTAACACTAAATGATTCCCAGTCAATGTTGGGAAAATTAAAATCTCTCATCACCACCACCTGTTTAAGATTTAAGATTACATGGTGAAACAGCACCCCAGAAGAAGCCTCACCAACATCCTGCACAGCCTCAACATGACATCCCAACTCCTATGCTCAGTGGTCTGAGCAATGAAGACAGGCATGCTAAACGCCTTCTTAATCATCCTGTCTATAACCTCAAAGAATTATGTACCTCAACCCCTAGGTCTCTCTGTTTTACAACATTACCCAAGGCCCTACTTTTAATTGTATAAGTCTTGCCCTTGGTGGTTTTATCAAATTGCATGAGGCTGTTAGATATAGTTATGATGATCTGGCTACGAAAGGAGTGCAATGAAGGTTTATCAGACTGATTCTTGGGATGACAGAACTGACGTATGAAGATAGATTGGATTGGTTGGGGACTACTTTCTCCGGAGTTTAGAAGAACCAGTGAAGTTTTCATTGAAACCTATAAAATGTTAACAGGTTTGGACAGGGAAAACAAAAGATGCTCCCAATGCATGGGATCGATGGTGACTTGCTTGCTGGGATCCAGAATTGGCTTGCCCATAGAAGACAGCGGGTGGTGGTGGGAAGGGTGGTTTTCTAGCTGGAGGTCCATGACTAGTGATGCTCCGCAGGGATCCATACTGGGACCTCTGCAGTTTGTAATATATATATATGTAAATGACTTTGATGAAAACATACATGGGTGAGTTAGTTTACAGACAACACAAAGATAGTTGGAGTTGTGGATAGTGTAGAAGGTTGTCAAAGGATACAGCAGGATATTGATCAGTTGCAGATATGGACGGAGAAATGGCAGATGGAGTTTAATCCAGGCAAGTGTGAGGTGCTGCACTTTAGCAGATCAAATGTTAGGAAAAGTATACAGTTAATGGCAGGATCCTGAATAGCATTGATGTATAGAGGGATCTTGGGGTTCAAGTCCATATATCCCTGAAAGTGGCTACACAATAGATAGGGTGGTAAAGAAGGTGTATGGCATTGGTCAGGGCATGGAGTACAACAGTCAGGATGTCATGTGGCAGCTTTGTAAGACTTTGGTTATTAAGAAGGATATGGAGATGTTGGAGGAGGTGCAGAACAGGTTAACCAAGATGTTACCCAGATTAGAGAGTATGAGCTATAAGGAGAGGCTAAAAAATTAGGGTTGTTTTCTCTGGAGTGGTGGAGGCTGAGGGGAGACTTCTATTAAGTCTGTAAAATTATGAGATGCATAGATAGGATTGACAGTCAGTTGAAATGTCTAATACTGGGGGCAAGTTCAAAGGAGATGTAAGGGGCAAGTTTTCTACACAGAGCATCACTACAATGGTAGGTGTCTGGAACGTGCTGCCAGGCATAGTAGTCGAGGTAGATATGATGGGGGCATTTATCAGGCTTTTAGATAGGCACATGAATGCAAAGAATGGATGGTTATAGACCAAAGGCAGGTAGAAGGGATTAATTTGATTTGGCATCATGTTTGGCACAACATCATGGGCCGAAGGGCCTGTTCCTGTGCTGTATTGTTCTACGTTCTATGTTCAATGACCAGGGAGTCCAGAACAAAGAGTCAAAGTCTGAGGACAGGGGGTAGGGCCATTTAGGACTGCGATGAGGAGAAATTTCTTTTGAGTGGTGAACCTGTAGAATTATCTACCACAGAAAGCAGTTGAGGCCAAAACATTTAATGTTTTCAAGAAGAAGTTACATATAGTTCTTAGGGCTAAAGGGATTAAAGGTTGTGGGGTGAAAGCAGGAACATGGTATGGAGTTAGATGATTAGGCACGATAATATTGAATGTTGCAGCAGGCTCAAAGGGCCTACTCCTGTTCCTATTTTGTATGTTTCTATGGAACACTGAAGAAAAGGGTGCAGATGAGTGGATGCTACAGATAGAAATGTCAGTATGAAGCATAATTAAGAGGATCAGAGGTGAAGACAAATGTTGGAAGACCATGGGTGGTCAGGTGAGATTAGTTGGAGTGTCCAAAAAAAAATCAAAGGACATGAAGACAAGGTCAGAAATGTGGCCATGGGAGGGGCGCAGCAGAGTCGTAGATGGGTTCAGGGTGCAACAGTGTGGAAAAGGGAGGAAATCAAGGACAGAAATTTTGGAAGGATTAACTTTTGGGTTCAGCCCTTGTCTCATTTTACTGTCAGGATTCCAAATGGTAAGGAAGTCCAGCTGACTGAGCTTAAAGATAGCAATAACATGAAATTTGTGGCACAGTGGTAATGGCTCTACCTCTGAACCAGGAGACCTAGGTTCAGATTTCACTTATTCCAAAGATGTATAATGTCTCTGAACAGACTGACTAGAAAATATCGTGAAATTGGCAACACACTAGTATATTTGAAAGGTATCAATAACCAATTTACCTCCTGAGAACGGATTAGTTACCCCACCCTTCGCCTGCTTCAGTTAAAGTTGAAAGCTGGTGTCTTTGGTGCCGCTGTTTCTAATTTTCAGCATTTTAACGTTTTCTATAACACTAATCTACCAGTTTTTTTGGGTTAAACTTACTCCCTCACTTTCTCTTACTGTATTAATTGGTTAAAAATAGTAGCAATTCCCAACAGAAAGTTGTCTGTGTACAGTCATCTGAAAAGCAGCAATTATATATTAACAAAACATCTAAGCATTAATCATTTCTCTTCCTCTGAAAATATCTGAAGGTAGCCTGCAGAATTTTATATCCATTGGGTTATTACTAATACTACCAGACTCCAATCAATCTGGCAATTCAACTTGTCAAAACAAACTTTCTCCTGGACCAAAAAAACATTGCACAGCATTGGATATTGTCTAATTTGATTCTGAACATTAAGAAGTAATGTTTGATTTATGTAGGAATGTGCTTACTTTCCTAAAATGCCAACAACTTCATTCACCAAATTTGTAATAGATGCATAATTCTCCTCCCGTACCAGTCTGTCCAGCAACAATACAAAATATTCCAGGAATCGACTTTTATCTTTAAATTTCTTGACTGTAACAAAGGAGATATTAAAATTACTTCCAACAAGGCAATACGTCCGTCAATCCGAAACTCAGTTATATTGCTTATTGGATTACTCTGCAAAATCAGTGTGGTGTTTCATAGTTGGACAAATACGAATATGGCAAATTATGGGGAATAAAACTAGAAGGGCTACGCACAACTGGCCAAGGCACTGGATCCAGCTATGACAAAGGCACAACCAGTCCAGCTAACCCAGCAAAGTCCTCCTCAATGACTTCTGGAACATTGTGCATAACTTCAGAGAGCTGTCCAACAGATCAATCATGCAAGGTTAATAATCAAAAGATGGTACTTTTCAACGAGCATCAGATTCTTCCTAAACTATTACCAATTACGACCTTTCAACAGCCTTCCCATTATGGACATAAGTGAAGTGGAGGCTATGACTCTCCACTAAATGGGTGGCACGGTGGCTCAGTGGTTAGCACTGTACCAGGGACCCGGGTTCAATTCTATCCTTGGGCAACTGTCTGTGTGGAGTTTGCACATTCTTCCCCGTGTCTGCGTGGGTTTCCTCCGGGTGCTCCAGTTTCCTCCCACAGTCCAAAGATGTGCAGGCTAGGTGGATTGGCCATGCTAAATTGTCTGTAGTGTTCAGGGATGTGTAGTTAAGGTGGGTTACAGGGGGATGGGTCTGGGTGGGATGCTCCAAGGGTCGGTGTGGACTTGTTGGGCCAAAGGGTCTGTTTCCACACTGTAGGGATTCTATGATCTTAATGCTCCTGACCACCAAATTACATCAGATGTCAGTACAAGATTTAATCTATCCCTTTTGTAATGCTGCAAATAAAACTGCTCTGATAATCTGTGCATGGTAGCATCAATGGTTAATAATGACAAAGATATTCACAAATCAAAAACCGTCAATTTAAGTTAATTTAAATTTGAGTCAATTTAATACTTAACTTTGAATACATCCACATTTTGCTCTGATTTTTCACTAACTATTCCATAGTGTTGTAGGCAGCCACCAAGGGCATAGACTACATGTCCCCTTTGGGAAACCTCCCCAAGACCCCACCAGCTCAACGGTTAGGGTTCCCAATACAAGGATATCCTTTTTAAATTTACCACGTGATGTTCTGATATGACTGAATTATTCAATGCATCAGAAATTTGTAAATTTCTACCTGCACTGTAAGCAGTATTTACTGGCGCATATAAGATTGTCATAAAAATCGCTGCTTCATTTCCAGTCAATGGTTCTGTTGTTCCTGGAAAAATAATTTGAGATGACGAAGAAAAAATATTAGTTTAGGAAAATATGTGGATATTAGTCTAAAATTTGTTAGAAGTTATATGTTCTAAACATGCTACATAGATCAATTAGTTAAACTGTGGAAATAGGAAATGGACAGATGGTATATTTACAGTAAAATTGGAATCACTGATCAAGAACAATATTAAAAGGTAAAGCAACTTCAGGGTGTCCCAAAGCTAAGGAGAGGTTTATGATTTGTAGAAAATTCAGCAGCAAAATAGATAGAAAATTAGATCCCTCAAGCCTTACCTCACCCCACAGTCCTTCATGTTCACCACTTTTTCTGGTCCCCGCCCTGACTCTTTCCCACTCACCAACTGCCCTGACAACCCCTCATTCCTTTCCACGTGCTACCATGCCTCTTGCCTTTATTCATTTCCACCAACTGCCTTACCTGATCCTTTCCCTCTGCTCTCTCTCACTCCCCCAACTTGCAGCTTCTCTTTCCTGAATCCTTAATGCTTCCACCCTTCTCCTGAGTTTACTGGATTAGGCAGGAACTTTCAAAAGTTGATTCAGGGAGGCTGTTTGCAGGTAAAGGGACAGTTGGAAAGTGGGAGGCCTTCAAAAATGAGGTAACGAGTCTTCAGAGACAGTATATTCCTGCCAGTGCGAAGGGCAATGCCGGTAGGTGTAGGGAATGCTGAATGACTAGAAAAATTGAGGCTCTGGTCAAGAAAAGGGAGGCATATGTCAGGTATAGACAGCTGGATCAAGTGAATCCCTTGAGCTGTTTAACGGGGGGCAGGAGTACACTGAAGAGGGAAATCAAAAGGGCAAAAAGGGGACATGAGATAGCTTTGGCAATAGTTAAGAAGAATCCAAAGAGATTCTATAAGTACATTAAGTGCAAAACACTAAGTAGGGAGAGATTAGGGACCCTTAAGGATTGATGAGGCCGTCTATGTGTGGAACCACTGGAGACTGGTGAGACACTAAACAAATATTTTCCATCAGTATTTACTATGGAGAAGGACATGGAAGTTAGGGAGCTCAGGGAAATAAACAGTAATGTCTTGAAGTGCCTATCTTACAGAAGAGGAGGTGCTGGAGGTCTAAAAAATGCATAAAGATGGATAAATCCCCAGGACCCAATCAGGGGTATCCCAAAACCTTGTGAGAAGCTGGCCCTCTTGCTCAGATAATTGAATCATTGACAGCAATGGGTAAGGTTCCAGAAGACTGGAGGGTGGCGAATGTGATGCCAGTATTTAAGATAAATAGTAAGGAAAAGCCAGGGAATTATAGACCGGTGAACCTGACATTAGTGGTGGGTAAGTTGTTGGAAGGGATTCTGAGGGACAGGATTTATGTGAATTTGGAAAGGCAAGGACTGATGGCAATTGTCAACATGACTTTATACATGGGAAATCATACCTCACTAACTTGCCTGAGTTTTTTGAAGAGGTGACAAAGAGTGATAAGGCAGATTGATAGACATTATCTATAGGGACTTCAGCAAGGTGTACAACAAGGTTCTGCATGGTAGCCTGGTTAGCAAGGTTATATAACATGGAATACAGAGAGAGATAGCCAATTGGCTACAAAATGGGCCTGAAGCAGGAGATAGAGGGTGGTGGTGGAGGGTGCGACCAGCAGTGTGCCACAAGGATCAGTACTGGGTCCACTGCTTTTCGTCATTTATCTGGATGTGAATATAGGAGGTATGGTTAGTAAGTTTGCAGATGACACCAGAATTAGTGCTGTAGTGGCTAATGAAGAAGGTTACCTCAGTACAATGGAACCTTGATCAGATGGGACTATGGGCCAAGGAATGGCAGATGGAGTTTAATTTAGATAAATGTGAGGCTTTGCATTTTGGTAAGGAAAACCAGAGCAGAAATTATAGAGCTAATGGTAGGGCCCTGGGGAGTGTTGCCAGACAAAGAGACCTAGGAGTGCAAGTGCATAGTTCCTTGAAAGTGGAGTCATAGATATACAGGGTGGTGAAGAAGGCGTTTGGTACACATGGTCAGTATGCAGATCACAGGAGTTGAGATGTGATATTGCAGCTGTACAGGACATTGGTGAGGCTACTTTTGGAATACTGCATTCAATTCTGGACTTGGAGACAATAAGGACTGCAGATGCTGGAAGCCAGAGTCTATAGGTGTGAGGCTGGAAAAGCATGGCAGGTCAGACAGCATCCGAGGAGCAGGAAAGTCAATGTTTCGGGGCGTGCTTTTCCAGCCTCTCACCTATAGACTTCACACCTGTTCTTCCTGCTATAGGTTGGGTTCAGAAAAGATTTACAAGGATGTTGTCAGGCTCTTTTTCCCTAGAGCACCAGAGACCCAGTCGTGATCTTAAGAGCGGCATCGTGCCTCAGTGGTTAGCACTGTTGCTTCACAGCACCAGGGACCAGGGCTCAATCACATTCTCAGATGACTGTCTGTGTGGAGTTTGCACATTCTCCCTGCATTTGCATGGTAGGGGTAGGTCTGGGTGGGATGCTCTTCACAGTATCGGTGTGCACTTAATGGGCTAAATAGTCTCCTTCTGTACTATAGGGATTCTTAGAGAAGTTTATAAAATATGAGGGACACGGTTAGGGTGAATAGCCACAGTCGTCTTCCCAGGGTAGGGGAGTCCAAAACTAGATGGCATAGGTTTAGGGTGATACGAGAAAGATTTAAAAGGGACCCGAGGGGCAACTTTTTTATGCAGAGGGTGATGTGTGTATGGAATGAGCTGCCAGAGGAATTGGAAGGGTGGGGGGGGGGGGGGGAGTGTACAATAACATTTAAGTACATGAAAAGGAAGAGGTTAGAGGGATATGGGCCAAATGCTGGCAAATGGGACTAGATCAGTTTGGTATATTTGGTTGGTGTGGACGATTTGGACTAAAGGGTCTGCTTCTGTGCTGTCTAACTCTATGACTTTATGAAATAGATGGAATAGTAAATAACATTAAGTCAGAAAGAGCAGTAAGTTCATAAAGGGATTTTTGGGCTAGCTAGTTCCAGGCAGCTAATTAGATTTTTAACATAAGAATGCGAGGTCATGAATATAATCAAGTATCTCACATTTTCCTATGGTAAATTAACTTTATTTTGCACATTATTATTTAGGACGACATTTTTAGGAGGGATTACGAGGATAACTGTACAAATTTGCTACAAATTGTGTATAATAAAAACTAGCTACATACAAAAGTCTTACACTTGTTGACATCAAATATAATGCTTAAAAACTTATACAAAAAGAGTCCTACCTTCCTTTTTCAGATCAGATGTAATATTATCCATTGCCTTCACCTGCATTGAACTTTCAATTGCTAATTTCTGTTTTTCAATGGTGCTCTCCCATTTGTTCTATGAAACAAGGCGTGGGAATATTTAGAAAAAATGCCAGAATCCGTTCAAATACTGCTGCTCCACCAATAGAATTGGTGAGAAATCACTTCTAACTTTGAGGCTAAACTACAAATAAACCTAAGAACCCACTGAAAAATTGTTTATTTGATTTTGTTTCTCTTGTCACCTTTCCTTCGGTTTTCACTGTGCAAATACAGTTTCAATTTACGGTAAATGTTCACAAACACTCAGTCTCCTAAAAAAAAACTCAATTTGAGGATCCGTGTCTAATTTATGAACTTGAGCAAGGAGTGGTGGCAAATGACTCAAACAGGACTCCCAGGTTGGACATCAAAACACTTGGGGCAGTCTGATTGTATCCTCTGCAAACAACTCTATAGTCATATTTTGAGGAACAATGAACTGGCATTAAACAGAAGCAAAGTATGACTGATATTCTTCTGGCCAAAAATTGTCATCAGATCTTGCTGTTGCCTTTCTTTGAAAAGAAATAACTAAGACAAGTTCTGGAATGAGGCACGGTATACAGTACAATCGGGGGAGATCACTGTACATGGCACTAGAATAAAAGTTGAAATTTCATTAAGTTGCATTCAAATACTAAAATTTATGATACTTCTAAAGTATTTTCATCAATAAATAATGATATGTTTAACTTGCAGAATTTAATACAATGCTAAATTACATATTAACTCAGCACAAAGCCATTGAATCAGATTCTGCTAAAATGGGACATCTCATGGGATACCTCATTTGTTGGACAACTGCACATTTAGATTTTATAAACATTTACCCACAAATTACTGGAAATGCATGTTAATAATGGTGAAGCAAGAGCAACGTAGAATCCAGGACCCAGGAAAGAACAATACAAAAAGTATATCTGTTTAACCTTTAAGGTTAAAGGGTTGAGAATCAAACCAAAAGAAGAGAAATATAGAGGACAAAGTTTAGAACAAGAATGAAAAGAAAGAAATGTGATTTAAAAAATGAAAACACAAAACTTGATATATTTCAGATTTCATTAAACTATTCACAACCTGAAGGAATAAAACCACAAACTTGTAATTGTTTGCTTTCAAGGTGCGGGAGATTGATGAACACTTATTAACAACAAGCATCTTGATACAAGGGCACTCGTGCTGATTTAGACTTAACTTTCTAATAAGCAATTAATGCATAAATTTCCATGAAAGTGACAGGGAAGTTAAAGATGAAATGCAATTTTTGTGATTTCACTTTGCATATTCTCTAACTGTTGTTTGCCACCTGCACATTAGTGATGGCATTCATCATTCACTTATCAATTCTTTTCAGCAAAATCTGGCCCCTTGATTCTAAAAGACACAATTATAACTCCTCCATTACCAATAAAGCATTTAGATGCATACTTTTATTGATTCAGCTTCTTCCTCGACTCCTCCAGTCTTTTGTTCCGTAGAAATTTCCTGAGATGCAGATTGCAGAATCTTCTTTCCGATAACTACAACTTCTAATGCAAGATTATACTCTTTCCAGAAACGTAATATCTATTAACACAGCATAAAAACTGTTTAAACTTTTAAGTGCTGGAGTATCAGATTTGCTACCAATTGAATACAGTAAAGGTAACTAGCTGACATCTAAAACATATAAAATTATAAATGAAGTTAAAATTTCCAATCCAAAAATTAAGCAGTAAGTTCTAAGTTCAACATAATTACACAATTTGATGGAGGAGCCTCACATTACCTTGCAGTGAAACCACAGGCCAACAGTGCAACTAAAACATACACAGCAGTATAACATGGGAAAATGCATGTGGCAATGGGGGATCATGAACCACATTCACAGTTCTGTAATATGGTTTTTCATTTTAAGATGCAATTCAGCACCAGTTTTGGATAGGCGTTATCTGATTAGCCTTGGGACTTATTACCTCCACCACTGTGGATGGAGATAATATTTTTGCCTGGTAGGACTTTTTGTCTGTAAACAATATATCTCACAAATGAACAGACAATTTTCAACAGGATTGGGTATACAGAAAGGGTATGGCTCACTTAAGAACAGACTTTTGGCAAAGACCTAGATCCATATCCAAATCCTGAATTTTTTAAAATGATCCTTTAACATTGAGAAATAGTATGGATAGATTATTAGATTGTCATGGGTTGCTTAAGTTACAACTTTGTGGATTGTGCTGTGATGCAATTTGTCACTGCTGTCAAAATTCAAACAGAGCTTTTAGAACAAATTGTTCTGTATGGATTTTCCTGAAGCCTCCTCAGTGTCATGGAAGCTCTAAAGAAAAAGATTTATTTTTCAGTTTTGTAGTTACACAAGATGAAACAGACAGCAAAAAGTCTTAAGGAGGGGCTGACTAATTGTAATAACATTGAGTTAAAACAGCATGCTGCTCTTCTAATGACCTCTTCACTGTCTTTATTTTATCATGTCATTGGACTTCATTATTGCAACCTCATTTTCATAAACATGGCCCAATTTGCTCTCTGTGGGTGAAAGTTGTGGGAACAATAATTAATCCCTATTCAAGCAGGACCTGTGTGTTTTACCGAACTTCCCAATCTACCTGCTACTTCTGGAAGAGGAATGGCAGGATCAGAGCAAATATACAGTAGTTGTCTGGAGGTTTCCAACAGGATTATAAACAGTTATGTCTAGAAACGGTCATTTTATTGAAGAACGTGGAAAATAAAACTTTCTTCCAGTGAAATATAAAAAAGAACCCCAAACAGAAGGCATGTACATATCGAGTCATTTAGTGCACAGAAGGAGGTCATTTGGCTCATGGAGTTCATGCTGGCTATTCATGGGAATCCAGTTGATCCCATTCACCCATAGTAGCCCCAGAGTCCTGGCAGTTTGTTTTCTTCAAGTTCCCATCCAAATTCTTTTTGAAATCATCGATTGTCCCTGTTTGCACCACACTCATGAGCAGTGAGCTTCAAGACAATAACACTGTTGTGCAGATTTATTCTCCTCCTACGGCTCCAATATTTCTTGTCAAAGTATTCCCTATTCTTTGTACCATCAGCTAATGAGAATAGATTTTTGTCATCTACCTTCTCCAAATCTATCTTAATTTTGTACACCTCTATCAAATCTCCCTTGCTCCCAGGAGAACAACTCTAGCTTCTCGAATCGTAACCTTGCAACTAAAATCCCTTATCTCTAGAGCCATTCGGATAAATTTCCTCCGAAGGATCTTCACATGTTTCCCAAAGTTAGATGAGCGAACTGGTTGCAATGCTCTATTTGTGACTTTCTTCACTTCCTTGGGTTCTCTGCCGGAGCATCACAACATGGCTAGGGCAAGGAGACAGGTCCCAAATCCACCCCAGCTAGAAAAGAGACTGAACCCTATGCAGTTGCATCAATTTGATCCACACTCACCAGCCTTCCAAGCAAGTCAGCACCCCAAACCCCTCCCCTCAAAGGAATCAGATTTGCTGCAGCAACACACAGTTTTACATGCACATTCTGGCTTGGAATTATGGATAGTGAAGGTAGACTCTAATTTCATTCCATTGCATGACTGGCCTGGAATCTCTCCTGCTTATGAATACAGTTTCCGTGACTACAAAGCACTGAGATAGTGCTTAAACTTGGAGTTGCTAAGTCCAGAGGCAGGTATACTATCCATTGTACCAATTAAATGAATATCTCCAGTTTTGGCCTAACCAGAGTTTTTTTCAATGTTCAGCGTAACTTCCTTGCAGTTGGCGTCCACACCTCTATTTATGGAGCAATACACATATCTGCACAATCAATCTTTCATCCAGCAAGACATTTAACGTTGCCTCTAATAAACTGAACCTTTGCTGAAGTGGCTGCAGCATCCATTGACCACGTTCATATAAAGAATTATGTAATACCCTTGGAAATACTACTGTTATCCTAGTAGTCAGCACCAAGAACAACAAAGCATTTCTCTCCAAACTTCTTATCCCTCTAATAAGGTGTCACATACATGTATGTGTATGTATGGCAAACTTTATTGTACTTTTAAGTTTCATGTGTATGGTCTTTGTGACAGCATATAGCATGTTTTGTCCTTGCTAAACATTACCTCCTTCAAATATTTCCTTAGTCAGAGGATAAAATGAGAAGATTAGCTAATTGTATGAAAGTCTCCATATTCAGAAATGTACATGGCCTACAATCTCTCTCTGGTGGGTCACAATAAAGACTATGCCATTATGCTATCAGATAGATATGTAGTAATTTGAGTGGGGTAAGTAAGTGCCAAAAGTGTGGTCTTAAGTTACATTGCCAACATTTAGCTATTCTCCATTTGGTAGACACTCTCTCAGCGTGACCAGAAATCTGTATGAAAGTGGACTACCAACCCAAGGTAAGGCTTATCAGAAAATGGTAAAGTCTGCCTAATCTTTCTTCATTTGGGAAACACTGGTTGGGATTGTGCACATACAGCAATTTTTCTATGTATGGCGTTTAAAAACAGGGAAGCTACGCTGCAGCTGTATAGGGTCCTGGTGAGGCCACACCTGGAGTACTGTGTGCAGTTTTGGTCTCCTTACTTGAGAAGAGATATACTAGCACTGGAGGGGGTGCAGAGGAGATTCACTCGGTTGATTCCAGAGTTGAGAGGGTTGGATTATGAGGAGACACTGAGTAGACTGGGATTATACTCATTGGAATTCAGAAGAATGAGGGGAGATCTTATAGAAACATATAAGATTATGAAGGGAATAGATAAGGTGGAGGCAGGGAGGTTGTTTCCGCTAGCAGGTGAAACTAGGACTAGAGGGCATTGCCTCAAACTAAAGGGAAGCAGATGTGGGACTGAGGTCAGGAGGAACTTCTTCATCCAAAGGGTTGTGAATCTGTGGAATTCCCTGCCCAGTGAAGCGGTTGAAGCTACCTCGCTGAATGTTTTTAAGGCAAGGCTAGATAAATTTTTGAACAGTAAAGGAATTAAGGGTTATGGTGAGTGGGCGGGTAAGTGGAGCTGAGTCTCAAAAAGATCAGCCATGATCTTATTAAATGGCGGGGCAGGCTCGAGGGCCCAGGTGGCCTACTCCTGCTCCTAGTTCTTATGTTCTTATGATCTGAGTCAATACATTGAATAAACTATCTCAAATAGAAGATTTTGTCAGTTGGCAAAACTAAGTCAGATGGATTTTATGCGGCAAGTGTGAAGCCATCGCCTGGATCAAAAGAAAGATAAATTATCAAGATGGTGAAAAACTAGGAATTCCAGGAAAGCATTGAGGTTTGGAACTTCAAATACTCACGGTCAGATGGTTAAATTAGTAGCAGATGGAATTTAACCCTGAAAAATGTGACGTGGTGCACTTTAGAAGAAGGCACAAAACATGGGAGTACTCAATGATGGCGGGACGTGGAGAAGCTCAGAGGAACAGAGGGATTTTGGAGTACTTGTCTACAGATCTGAAGGTGACAGGACAGGTTAATAGGTTAGCTAAGAAGGCATAGGGATGCTTGCCTTTATCAATCATGGCACACATTATAAGAGCAGGGTGCTTATGTTGAAGCTGAGCAAAACCTTGATTAGGCCACAGCTGGAATACTCTGTGCAGTTTTGGTCACTGCACTATAGGAAGGATGTGACTGCAGAGGAGAGTCACAAGGATGTTGCCTGGGATGGAGCATTTTAGCAATGAAGAGAGACTGAATAGCATTGGGTTGTTTTCTTTAGAGAAGTAAAAGCTGAGGAAGGCTCTGATAGAGGTATATAAGATCATGAGGGGCATGCACAGGGTGAATTCTCCTTTAGTTGAAGGGTCAATAACAAGGGACCATAATTCTAAGGTGAATGGCACAAGGTTAGTGGGGATTTGAGGAATTTTTCTTTCACCCAGAGGCATCTGGAATGCACTGCCTGGGAAGGTAGTTGAGGCAGGAAATCTCACAATCTTTAAAAAGTACGTGGATGAGCACTTGAAATGTCATAATATTTCAAACTATGGGTCAAGTCCTGGAAAGTGAAATTAGTGCAGATAGGTCAGAGGAGTTTCGATGGGCCAAAGAGCCTCTTCTGTGCCATATGACTCTTTGGCTATGACTCTATGACTATTCTATATTGACATCTACGAACTGGAAACAGTGAGACAGAACTTAATCAAAGGAATGGATAATGTATATAATCGTACAAAACAATAGAAACATACCACAAAATAAAAAAATTAAGAAGTACAGAACCAGACAGAAAACTGTAATATCACAAGTATTTCAACAAATGATTTTTTTCAAATAAATTTGAAGAGACTGCAGGCATTGCAACTGGAATCAGCAAGATTTTGTTAGTGGGATAAACTAAGTCACTTGAATTTTATGTAGCGAGTGTGAAGTCATTCAACCTTAGTGAAAAAAAGAAATTTGAGATGATGAGAAACTAAACTCAAGAGAAACAAGGTTTTGGAAGTCATTGACAGAGATAGCTCAAAGGATTAAATGGCTTGCTCCTGTTCCAATTCTTATAGTCAAATAACTTATTATGGATTATTGCAGTAAAAAATGTAAATACTCTACCTTTGCTAAATAATATGTGATACAAGCTGTCATGTGTTGCAAACTTTCAGTTACTCCAGCCTGTTTCCTTTGCTTGGTCACACCAATGACGTGTTGCAGGACACACAGACATTTTATGAGAATCTGTCACATAATTATCGAAAATAGAATTAATCCTTCCACAGTAATGCATGGAAAATTTCCTTAAGCTATGTGACTTGTAAGTATAAATTAAGAATACGTTGCTGAACATTGCTTCTGTAAAATTGCTAGACTGACAGGACTAAATATTTCAAATATGTTACAAGACATAACAATGTGGAATATACAAAAATAGAACAAAATAGCATGCAACTACTTCTAACTGACACAAAATACAACATAAAAAGTAAAGGAAAAAATCCAAAGGTCCTAATCATGGCTCAATAAAAGATAAAGGAGGGCAAGCCAAGAACAGCACCAGGCATGTCTACAATTAGGTGTCAGCCTGATTTAAGCTTGAATGCAGGACCAAGTAGCAAATACAGCACACAATAGACAGGACTAAGCAATCCCACAACTGACAGATAAGGTCTAAGCTCTGCAGTCCTGCAACATCCAGCCATGAGTGATGAACAACTAAACAACTAATTGAGGAGACAACTCCAAAATATTCCTGTCCTCAGTGTTCAGCGAGCCAAGCCTATCAGTGCAAAAGTCAAGGCAGAAGCATGAAGAGCAGTGAGCAGAGGATGCTATGACATGCAGTTAGCAGCACTGATAGCAGCAGGTAAGGGAGGTCCCCAAAACAGTCAGCACCACCTAAAGGAGCAGGCAAGTGCAGGATCCTGATACAGGCATTCTGAAAGAAACTGAGACATCATAAAGCTATAAGCTATGTCTGATGAGTAATAATCAAGTTGACATGTTTGTGATGATTTTTTGTTTTACAAGTGTGATTAATAAAATATCTTTTTTGGGAAAAAGTGCCAGTGAGCAAACGTTCTTTGGGAGAGTGCATAAATGGCTGGAAATTAGTAAACCTTAAGTTTTCAAATATTGTATTTAAAGTGGCAAAGATCTATTCTACTGTTAAGTTGTATACCACAAGGACTATAGATATTTACCAGAAATATAAAATGGTAAAAAGGAAGTTTAGATACTGCTGTGTTGGAGAGAATGTGCTATGTTATGTTTTTAACAACATGTAAGAAGGATTTTGTGTTGCTCAATTACTGGTTACACACGGTCACATAACTCATGGAGAAGCTGAATTTGATGCCTTTCAGAGACAAACTGCTGCAAGGCAACTTTCAGTTTAAAAAAAAATGCCTAGCAACAGCTTTTACGCTAAGCTGCAGTTGGTCACAGAACTGAGGGAAAGGAGTAATTGCACTCAGATTTCCAAAAAGCCTCAAATTAAACCAAGACAAGTCTCTCTTCTTCTCTCTGTCTCCCACACTGAGTGGAAAAGAAATGACACAAAGAAAAGTTTCCAACACAACCAAAAACATAGGTCCAACTGACTACCAAATGGAAGATCACGGCATGATAACAATGGGATAAGTGCCAAACACCAAAAGAATTGTGGAAAAAGTCATCTCTTTCCACCCTTGAGGATTTGGATTCTTGATCCACCAAATTCATTCCTTTTTGCCTGCTTTCCACCATGATATTTCTGCAGAACTATCTGCCTGAATGAATGTGTGTCTATGCTATGACTTAAAGGGAGTACAGATTAAATTTGCATGTTAGTGCATAAATTTTGGGGAGGTGATAGCCTAGTAATAATGTCACTTGACTATTAATCCAGAGACCCAAGAAATATTCTGGGACCTAGGTTCGAATCATGTCTTGGTAGGTGGTGGAATTTGAACTCAAAAAAAAAAAAAAAATTGGAGTCTAATGATGACCACGAAACCGTTGCCAATTGTTGGAAAAATCCATCTGGTTTACTCATGTCCTTTAGGGAAGGGAACCTGCTGTCCTCACCTGGTTTGGCTGACATGTAACTCACAATCCACAACAACGTGGCTGACTCTTAACTTCCTGGAGAATCTAGAACACTATATAAGGGGTTGATCGTTAGATTTTTTTTTATTGTCATGTTTAATACTGAGATGAAGAATTTTTTTTCACTATAGAGGAAATTTGATATCTTTGGAACTCCTATCCTGAAGCTTTGTGTATGCTCTATCATTAAATGTATTCAAGCCTGAGAGAGAGAAGTTTTGATTTTGCTGTGAATAAAGAGATATGGAGAGTAGCTGGGGAAGTGCAATTAAAGCGGAAGACCAGCCATGATCTGATTGAATGATGGAATAGGCTCAAGGAACCATATGGTTCACTTCAGTTCCTATTTCAAATGTTCCTAACATGATTCCTATCTAACACAGAGCTCTGTTCCACCCTCACACACTTGGAATTCCTGCAAGCCTCACACCCATATTTTAGTATTTGTAGAAGTATTTTTAAGGGCACTATACACAGTGACTTTCCTCAGTCATGTGACATCTGCAGCAAATGCTTGCAGTTTAGAGACAGAACCTATTATTTATTAAACAAACAGCTTGTACTTACCACCAACTACTCAACTATGGCTGTCACATCACCCAAAACATTGCAACACACACACACATGCACATGCGCACATGTGTACACGTACATGCGCGCATACACACTGAAACTCTTCCATTTGACCTCAGGACAGTGCAGTGAGTTCCTAAAGGCAGCAGCACCTAATTGGAGGAAAACCGGTACAGCTTAATGTCCTTCTACTCATTGAGAAGGCAGTGTTTACCATCATAGGAGAAGCCATGATTGAGGATATCATCAGTAATGGGACTGAAAGGATCGAAGATGACATCATATTCCTATCTAATCTTCCTTTTTATTCCCATATATCTCAGTCAAAAATCATTTTTAACTTACAAGCTGCACATGACGCAAGCATGCATCCTCCTGTTATTCCTGAACTCTTTGTCACCTATATACATTAACTTTCTCCTTTCAGATATCTGAAAACTTAAATTTGAATGAACAGTGTACGAAGAGGAAATAAGACATGCTTAATTTATAAAGTTGGTTTGGAATGTTTAATCTGTGTTGGCTTTTATTTTACATCATGGCCAAACACTCCCTCACACACACACACCATTCTCTCACCGTAGTCACTATTTAACCACCAGGCCACATGGTGTACCTGTCCTTAGCTATGTCCTATCTAACCACACTCTCCAAAGAACCACAGCTCTGTCCCTAGTGCCCACTGGAGACGTGCAGCTTCTCACTGTCCGGTAGTGGAAAATCACATACAGGCAGTGATGGTCAACATAGAAGGTAGGGGCTAGTTACCAGGCTTGATCCTGCTGCGGAACATGTGCTCAGCTTTGAAAAATAAAGCGAAGGAGTATTAGTTGGAACATCTAGCTCCAAATTGGCAGCACCAGTGTCAAAACAGGATTATCCTCTGATTGGGGTCATAATAAACCTTTTTTTTTAAACACTGTTGAAGCTCACTGCCTGCACCCATACCAACCCTCCTCATTGAAATGCTATTCAACACGGCTACCAACAGGAATGTACCCTTGCGATACAGGTGCCATTCAGAAAAGGAAGAAAAACTTGCATTTCCACAGCATTTTTTCACAACCTCAGAATATCCCAAAGTCAACACTACCCAAGAAAGTGCTTTTGAAATGTAGTTAGTTATCATGTAAAATGAAAGATGCAAAACAGCACTCAAAGCACCAATAAACCAAATCCAACAGATGCAAAGTGTTGTAGCCCTCTTAGTTGTTCAAATTTCTAACCTGTACAACTGGAATTGAAGGAATTCTGTGAAAGATCAGGGGTGCAAGAAGTCCGTAGCACTGGACAACAGCCTGCAGTGCTTGATTGACATCATTGATCCAACTGGCAAGTTTAATGGCCACCAGAATCCTTTCACATTTAGCCAGTCTACTAAGCTGAAAATTAAAACAAGTTAGTGACCCGTGAATCACCGTGCTTTGCTTTCAAACACAAATATTATGTACTATTCAAAGACCATGACAATCTAGAAGTAATTCATGATTTCTGTATTCACTTAGTCTATGTTATTCAGATGCATACTTTGATGGCACTTAAAAGAATTAATAACACTATTTATCATTAATGTAAAAAATGAGCAATATTCAGAAAATAATAATTGATAAAATATTAAAAATGAACACTTACTACAATTAAGAAATGGTTCTTTAATTTCATGTCTTTGTTTTTGTTTTGCCACACCCTTGTTTTGATCTCCTTGATTTTTGAATGTGCCCTTTTGCCTGATTCTAGCCCATTACCACTTGCCATTCCCAAAAGAACTTGCTACTCACCTGATATCCACCAAACGACCAACATTGCTTGAGCTCATGTCATCTTTAAAAGGGTTTAGTGCACCTGGACAAGTGTTGGCAATCCAGTGTTGCTCCTCACCAGCAAAGTATTGGAACAGCACAGCAGCCACATGACTCATGGCACGTAGATGTCATGGCTGACACTCCCTCACACGCACACACCATTCTCTCACCGTAGTCACTGTTTAACCACCAGGCCACATGGTGTACCTGTCCTTAGCTATGTCCTATCTAACCAGACTCTCCAAAGAACCACAGCTCTGTCCCTAGTGCCCACTGGAGACCTGCAGCTTCTCACTGTCCGGTAGTGGAAAATCACATAGAGGCAAGCAATCAAACAATTCGAAAAGTGAGCCTTTATTTAAAAGTCAGCAAAGGAAAACACAAACAAAATGAATATAGGCTGTACTTTGCATCCACAATGCAAACCAAAACTGGCACAATTACCGATGACAATTCTGCAGTTCATGACTGCTTCATCCACTGGAACTGGGTGTTAATCAGATGCCGCCTGGCTTGTAGTGCCAGATCTGGCTGTGTATATGACATTTGCTGGCGAGCTTCCTCCTTTGAAATATTTGTGCCTCCTCCGCGAAGACGGCTCCTGTTCCCCAGAAAATGAAATAAACCGATGTGATCTTGCACAGATGGCAACAATCACTGCCCTGATCCATTTGTAGGTGCATGATTGACAGACCTCAAACAGTTTACCCATTGCTCCCTGGAACCAACTTGTTGCATAGATGTTCAAAGCGGCTATCACTTTCACAGCCATCAGGAATTGATCACCTCTCACTTCTGCAGTCCTCAGGTTCCACTCAAGCAACTGGCATACAGCACCCATCTTGCACCCTCCCCATTGCTCCACAAATGAACACCCCAGTTAATATTCGCTCCAGCCTTCTGACAGATTTTGATTCACAGCCCTAAGAGATGATTGATCAGACCCCTGAACTTGTAGCTCCTCACCGGCCAATACGTTTCCCAGGACTGCTTATGATGACCCTACAGAACAGACCGTTGCCCACTCGCTGGACAGTAGATGGATAAATCTCCTGACAGTGAGCGGATGACTGATATAGGCAAGCCCTTGGACTGTGTGCTCCTGGTTGGGACTCACTGACAGCAGCCCCTCATGATGGACTGACATCCATACCCCAATACTTTCTGACTTGGCCATTTAGTTGAAACATACAATGTTTTTGCTGGATAGGCAGCTGGCACGTGCTGAAGGTGTTTAAAATGATGTCTCAGCGTGCTCAGCAGCAAAATGTCCCCATTGTTCAGGCCCCTAGAAGATTCTGCCCACTATTATCACTCAAAGAAAATAGCCTGGAACTTCTTGTAAGTTAGAGAGGCAGTAAATCTTTAGTGGACAAGGGCAAGGCTGGACTTACACTTTCATTTTCTATGTTCATTCTGCATTTCTGGGGATAGGAGATGGCAGGTGGATAGGCGTGCAGCAACAATTGCTGTAGTGTTTTGCAAAGCATAGGATGCTCAGCAGTCAGTAAAAGAATGGAAAAAAAATAAAAGTTTCTCAAGTCCACTTCTTGCTGAATGTAACTGATGATAGCTGGGCATTTAAATCTCTTAATTAAAGGCCTATAACACATAGAAATATTGGTTAGCAGGATTTCATGTGTTTTTCTAATACCCAGTGTTGCTGCAGCACATAAAATATAAAATACGTTATATGGCAGCATCCCACCACTCAGCTCATTATACCACATGTATTCAGGGAAAATGTGTTAAACACTTCAAGTACTGGAAATCTGAAACAGAAGATGCTGGAAGTTCAGTTGGTCACTGAGCTGGATTTTCTTGAGAGCTTCGGGACCCCTGTGTTTGGGATTAAATGAGATTCAGATGTGAATTTGCCAGCAGAGAGATTGGCAGCACCACATTCTGAGAGGTCATGTCCTGAATGGCAGCCTCCTATCAGGCTCACCATCCTCTTAGGGAACTCAGATGGCCTCTCAATGCTATCACCCAGAGGAGCCACTACTCCAGAGCTCTTGCAGCCCCACTGGAGAGGTGGGCACTCTCTGGCAGGGTTAGAGAAATATAAAAGGCAACTCAACATGGAGGCCTGGCCGCAATTAAAAATTATGGGGACTAAAGGCTATCTCAGATCACAGGGGAACCACCTCATGAGAAACCTCTTTCTCTGTCATGGGGATAAGGATGCCTCCATCGAAACAACAGTCCCTGCACACAATAGTCAGCAGCTCTGCTGGTGGCAAAACCTAGGGGTCATAAGTTCACACCTAATTGAGGCATGACCATTCCCTCTCTGTGGAAATGGCAGCCCATCTCCTTCCCAGAACTTGATAGCTTCAGGAATGCAGATGTCCAGGTACTGCTCCCCACTAGAAGGCCCGTGCTTCTGCATCTCCAGCTTGGCACCAAACAGCTGTAAATGTTTGCACATTAAGTCTGTTTCTCTCTTCACAAATACTGTCTGACCTGCTGAGTATCTCCACCATTCTGTTTTTATTTTGGAAAATTAATCATTTGATTTACATAGAACATGATTAAACCACAGTTATAAAGTAAACATTTAATAACTTGAACTTACTACATCCATTGAATATATATAAATTTCAATTATATTGCTAATCATTAATTTTACTCAGAACGTACTTGTCCGTTGTAGAGAGGTCCATTGTCAGACAGAGAGTCACAGTAAACAGCATCTTCCTGGCAACTAATATCCGAATCAATGAAGATGCTTGCCAGAAAACTCCGCAGAAGGATGGGAGATGCCAGAGATACAGCAACATAGTTTAAGCTAAAAATAAATTGTGAACATTGTTAATGTGGGAGCACTTTTTTTAAAAAAATCTACTGTTGTTCAAAGCAGATATTTTAATTTATTTTTGAGAGACACTTCAACAGATTTATATTGTCTGCATTTCAGGGCAGTCTTTCCCAGAGTGGACAAGGAACAAAATTAGCTGACCACTACATGGAAGCAAGGTGCTAATTACGGCAATTAATGGCCAACCATTGTGGACTTTGGCAGTATGTTCTCACCATCAAATAGGCCACCTGCAAAATGAAGAGATTGCCTTAACTGAGGCAGCTTTCTGATGGAATGCCATTTGCCATCAGAGCCAAAGGTATCATGGCCCAATGTTGGGTTGTAGGAATGAAAAAAAATACAACCATGTTCCAGCCTCATGCTTCTTTAAATGGTGACTTTATCGCAAGAAACCATTTTGAGTATGTTTGTCCAAGACTTTAATTCTTAAAAGAAAGGAAAAGAATTTGTGTACCTTAAGTAATCTTAAGTACATGTATGATAGGGTGGATTAATACCCAGCAATTATTTCATAACTGAACCCAATGAAGTTTTGGATCTTTTAAATTTTTGGTGGTTTCCAGTAAAGTTCCTGCATCCAGTGGGGCTACTTCCTGCTTCATTATGGATGCTGTTAACACCCATCTTCACAATCTCACTCAACACTTCTTTGTCTGTCATCAAGCTGCTTGCCCAGTAACCAGTATGCATGAGCAGAACTTCCCTCTAACTAAATATTGTGAAGCCAAGCCATTGAGTGGAATTTAATTCAGGTGGATAACAATGGGTATCCTTCAATGTCATGGCCACAGTCCTGTAATAGCCTTCCCAACACTGTATCTACAGTAGATGGACTGCAGTGGTTGAAGAATATGGCTCACCATAAACTTCTCAAGGAAACTTAGCAATGAGTATTAAGTGCTAGTCTAGCCAGTGACTCACCCATCTCTTGCATGATGGGAGCCAACATATGCCAAAAAAGCCCTCATCCATGCATACCTTTGTATCTATAGAACCATATAATCCAGCACATTCTACCATCCATAAACTCGAGGTCAACCAAAACTTGGCTTCCCATGTCTAATTCAAAGCAAGTCTCATCACCCTTACTCGTTGACCTACGTCAGTTACCTCTCATGCAATGCCTTGTTTTTAACACTCTCATCCTGGCTTTCAGATCATCCAATGTTGTTAAAAGCAAAATACTGAAGATGCTGAAAATCTGGACCAAACATAGAGAATGCTGGAGAAACTCATCTTTGGAGAGAGAAGCAGAGTTAATGTTTCAAATCCAGTAGGACTCTTCTTCAGAAACTTCTTCACAGTTTTGAAGAATAGTCATACTGGAATGGAAACTTTAACTGTTTCTCCCTCTCTATAGATGCTGCCAGACCTGCTGAGATTATCCAACATTCTGTGTTTGTTTCATTCCATGTTGTGCTCCCCCGCACCAGATTGTGTAATTTCCACCAGCCTCACTACCCTCAAGATGATCTGTGCTCCCTGATTCTGGCCTCTTCTACATGCCATGTTGTAATTCTTCCAATGTGACAGAATTTTTGAAAAGCCGACCTTAAATGACCTAAATCCTGACATGGTTTGGTGTCATAGTTTATCACAGTCCTATGAAGCACTTTGGGATGTTTTGTTACTGTTGTATGAGATAGTTAGGACTTGAAGTGGTAAGTGACATCACAAGATAAGCTCTGGAAATTAGTTCATAGAGGAATGTTCCTGGGAGTAGATAACCAGATCTTCAGTTTGCTGGACCAGTTCTCCTAGTCTCTGGGTTGTGCTTCAGCAATAGTTTTTAGTGTTAACAGCATGTCCAAATACAGCAAGACCAGGACAATATCCAGGTTTGGGCTGACAAATGGCAAGTAACATCTGTATCTCACATGTGCAGGCAATGACTATCTCTCAAATCATCAGCCCTTCACATTCAAAAGCATAACCATCTCTCAATTCCCTAGTATCACCACCCTGGAGGTCAACATTCACCAGAAACTGAACTGGACTATCTATGTAAATACAGTGGCTACAACAGAGGCTAGAAATTCTGCTTGGAGGTTATAGAGGTCAAGAGTGAAATAAGTCTACGAAAGCCGGTATCCCATCACCAAGTCACCCTTTATTTACATATGCATAGTACATGGCACTGACCCAGCCAGCTCAGAGCTGGCTCCTAGAGGGAGCAGAACCCCTGACACTCCTATTTATATCTGTCAGCCAGGACTCCTTATTTAGACCAGGTTATCAACCCCAATCAGGGAACTTATATTCTGTGAAATCCACCTGGCTGACATTGTTCCAATCACTATAAAGAGCACATTACAGAAAAAGCTTATTTGGTCTGCTCCATTCAAAAACAAGCTTCTAATTACTTTAATCCTATTTTCCAGCACTTGGCCCATAGCCTTAATTGCCTTGGCATCACAAGTGTACGTCCAAATACTACTTAAATGTTATAAGGCTTTGTGCCTCTTATGGGTGGTGAGTTCTGTCCCTTATAGACAGTGAGTTCCAAGTTCCTACCATGCTCTGGATGACAAAGTAGTTCATCACATCCCTAAAGGTAGCAGTACAAGTAAATAAGGTTGTAAAGAAGGTAAATGGAATGCTGTCCTCCATTGACAGAAGTACAGACAACAACTTGATGATAGTATAATGTAGGGTATGCAGGGTAGTTTGAGCTTAGTAGGATAATATGTCGGCACAACCTCGTGGGCCGATGGGCCTGTACTGTGCTGTACTGTTCTATGTTCTATGTTAACAGTAAGGATAAGGGGCGGCACGGTGACTCAATTGTTATCACTGCTGCCTCACAGCGCCAGGGACCGGGGTTCAATCCCAGCCTCGGGCAACTGTCTGTGCAGAGTCTGCACATTCTCCCTGTGTCTGCGTGGGTTTCCTCCCACAGTCCGAAGATCTGCAGGCTAGGTGGATTGGCCACGCTAAATTGCCCGTAGTGTTCAGGGATGTGTAGCTTAGGTGGGTTATACGGGGATGGGTCTGGGTGGGATGCTCTGAGGATCGGTGTGGGCTTGTTGGACCCAAGGGCCTGTTTCTACACTGTAGGGATTCTATTATGATAATGATGAAACTAATGAAAAAGACACTGGTGAGGCCGCAACTGGAGTATTGTGTGCAGTTCTGGTCACTGCATTACAGGAAGGGTGTAATTGCTCTAGAGAGATCCCAAGAAGATTTACTAGAATGGTGCACGGGCTGGAGAATTGTAGCTATGAGGAGAGGTTGGGATTATTTTCCTTGGAACAAAGAAAGTTGAGGGGCGACATGATTAAGGTATACAAAATTGTGGGTAGAGATAGAGTAGACAGGAGGAATCTGTTTCCCTTGGCAGAAAGTTCAAAAACCAGGGCTCATAAATTCAAGTGACAGAAGGATTAAAGGAGACGTGAGGGAAAATGTTTTTCACGCAGAGGGTGATGGGTGTCTGGAATTTGCTGCCTGAGTTGATGGTGAAGGCAGAGATCCTAAACTCTTTTTAAAAGTACCTTGTATGCCCCGTGAGCTACAAGCTAGAGGGCTATGGGTCATATGCAGGAAGCTGGGATTAAAAAGGCCATCTCGGTGCCTTTGGGCTGACATGGACAAGATGAACTGAATGGCCTGCCTTCTGTGCCGTATCATTTAAATGGTAGGTGCTTACCAGGGTCCTATCATTTATCATGTATTCCCTTGCATACATCTCACACATATTCATCTTAAATTCCATTTGCTATTGATCAGCCCATCTGACAAACCTGTCTATACTCTTGTGTAATCTAAGGCTATCCCCCACACTATTTAACACCTCATTAATTTTTGTATCATCCACAAACTTACTGATTAACCCTCCAACATTCAAGTCTACATCGTTTCTATATACTATAAACAGCCAGGGTCCCAACATTAATCTGTGCAGAACCCCATTGAACACAGATTTCTAGTCATAAAAACTCCCCTCAACCATCCCTCGTTTCCTGCCACTCATCCAATTCTGTATTCAATTTTCCAAATTTCCTTGGATCCTATGGGCTGTTACCTTCAGTATCAGTCTTTCATGCAGGACTGTACCAAAAGCCTTGCTGAAGTCCAAGTAGACTACGTCAAATGCATTGTCCTCATCTACACACCTGGTTACCACTGAAAAACTTAATTAAGTTGGTCAGAAATGACCACCCCTGAAGAAAACCATGCTGACTGTTCTTAATTAATCCCTACCTCTCCAAATGCAGATTAATTTTGTCCCTTAGAATTATTTCCAATAGTTTCACCAGGTTTTACCATTTAAAAGGCAGAGAACAGTAAACACATGGGAGCACCATCGCCCGCAAGGTCCCCTCCAAATCACTCACTTTCCTGACTTGGAAATATAATCACCACGGCTTTAGTGTTACACGGTCAAATCCTTAAATTGATTTCTTAATGGCATTGTGATACATATATGCCAAATGGATTGCAATGGTTCAGGAAAGCCGCTCATCACAAGCTTTTCAAGTGCAATTAGGATTGGGCAATAAATGCTTGCCCAGCAGCATCACCCACATCCATGAGTGAATAAAAATTAGTTAAAATTAACGTGTATTTACTTATAAATTGAACCTGATATCTCAAACAAAATCATGCATTTTAGATGTGATGTAACTATTTACTAAATCATATGTAATAAACCTTTATATGTTAATCAAATTAACATCACTCTTTTGCCTAAAGTGCATGGGAGCATCCTTCCCCAAATAGTATTTGCATTTCATAGCATGACTAATATTAGGAAGAAGGATTGGTGATATCTAATCTAACAAAAATATCCCAGATAATTCCAGCGCAAACCTGCATTTACAATATGGTGGCAGTGCTACACATTATAAGAATTACCATAAAGGTGTTACAAAACATAAGTTACCGTTGGGGATGCCCGCTGACTGAGCTAACAGCAGGCTGCAGTACTCAGCACACATCCTAACCTGCAGATTACTCTACGT